TGTGTGGGTGTGAGTGAGTCTGTGTGTGTGTGTGTGTGTGTGATGCTGATGCTCTGTGTTACTCAGGAGGAGCGCTCCTTCAGTGAGGAGGAGGAGGAGAAGCTGCAGAGCGCTTTATCTCTGGAGAAACACACTCTTCATCTGCTGGTGGAAACCCTGTCCTTCATCCTCGAGCAGGTCCAGCACTTCACCTTTACCTGCTGCTGTCAATCATGTTGTCCGTTCACACACAATCCCTACACCGTGGTATAAACATGGTATTTTCAGATTTCAAGCGCTTTACCATGTTCACTCTCGTCTCGCTTCCTTCAGGGTTCGTGAAAGAGCTTGACGTACTTGATTTAGACCTTTTGAAATCTAAGTACTGCAAAACTGCCATACGCAAATGTAGTATATTTCCATATCCATATATGAAATATATTGTCATATTAAGTTATAACATACATGAAACCTATTAGAAATTGGAATAATATCATATATGAACATATACGTATATCTGGCCCATACAGATATATAAGACAATATAAAAGAACATTTATTACAAAAACATATACAAACATACATATTTTTTGTATATACGTTGTTTTAATAAAGTTGCATATATAAATAAAATATATATTGTTAACATATATGGTTGCTACACATAATACCATATAAAAATCATCATAAAAATATTAACAACATATGTACATATGCAAATTTTACTGTGCAGATTTTATATATTTGTTATAAACTGATATCTTCATCTACCCAGAGAATGTACATATGTGAACATACATGGCAATATCACTTTTAATACAGGGCAAATGTGTCATATATTACATTTCTGAATCTTCATGAAGAATCACTGGAAACCTGCTTGAATTATTGAAAGACATATATATATATATATATATATATATATATATGAAATTATATAATGTTTTTTTTTTTATATTTTGAGCTCTCCTCCAAAACAACAGAGCACATAATTAGATTTAATGTTTGTAAAAAGTTCCTAAAAGAGAATAAAGATGAAATTGAAACGGATCTGTTAAATCTGCCTCAATCCGCACAGACAGGCTTCTGCAGAAAAGAAGGAGAGATAGTGACACAAACTAAATAAAGTCATTACAAAACCCTGCTGAAGTGCTGCTGTTCAGCTGGGAGAAAACCACATGGTGTTTTCCTTCGGTTATAGCGTCTTTGAATACGATTTTTACTTATTTAGTTTGAATAGGTTTATTTATATTTAGATTACAAGAAAGGCCCCATGTCTGCATTAAGTGTGAACACTGATCAGAAGATGTGAAGCAGAGGTTCTCTGTGCTGTTGCAGGCCGTGTATCACAACATCAGAGCAGCATCTCTCCGACAGCAGCTGGAGAACATCAGTGTTGAGTCGGAGAAAGCTGAGGTGTTCAGTCAGGTTTGGGCTTCAGCTGCTCCAGATGTGCTGGAGAAGATCCGACTCGCCATATTTGCCCCTAAGAAGGTGAGTTCTGGATGTTTGCGTGAATCTGAGGTCTGACCCATATCTCTGCCCAATCAGACGAGATCCTTCTTTCAGAACCATGCTCGGTTTCCCAAAGAAGATTTCAGGGAATAGTTTCCTAAAAGAAACAATGTTATAAAATGGATAGTTCCGGTCCTTGATTCTGATTGGCTGAGCCACGTTCGAAGCTGTTGTAAATGACTCTACAAAGTAACATACACCTTTGTTTACGTTTGTGTGTTGCTCGGCAACCACTTTGTAGCAACCACAACTGTTTCTGAGGAGCTACATTGTTTGGTGGAAGAATACTGTTTTTATTAATATCATTACACTTTATTTGCTCTGTTTTATTTTGTGAAACCTTACTACGTATATGGAATAACCGTAACCATATCTGCTTCGCGTCGTGCCTAACAACGCCCTTTAGCTGTTATAAATTCACTGTAAACCACGGCTTCTTGGGGCTTACTGCTTTATTTTAAAAGCATTTTAATAATATAAAGAACCTTCTGTGTAATGTAAAGGTTCCATTGATGTGAAAGGTTCTTCATGAAACCATCAATTCCAAAAAAGAAGCTTTATTTTGAAGAGTGTAGATGTGAACAGACTCATGAGCAAATGACTCTTGAACCGATTCTTTGTAACGAATCAGTCAAAAAGACTCACAATCTGAATCATCTAATGACTCTAAACTAAAACTAAAAGCTTCCTAAAGGGGAAGAACCATTTTTGGTTCCCTAAAGAACCTTGCAGTGAACAGTTCTCAAAAGAACCATTTTTTTTCTTAGTGTGAAGAACTTATTTTTTTTAATCTTTTGTGCTTTTGAAAGATTTCATGGATGTTAAAAGTTCTTCAAGGAACCAGTAGAAGCCAGTAAAGAAGCTTTCTAATTAAGAGTGTGTCAGGACCATCTGAAGTGTTAATATTAATGTCTATTATTAATCTGATGACACTGTCATCCATTCAGACCAGCTTCAGATCTGAACATCAGCGTGAGTTTGAGCTCATGATGTAGTTGAGTGTTTCTCGTGTGTGTTCTAGCTGGATCTCGTGGGTTGGCAGCTCAATCTAAAGATGTCCTCGTCGGCTCGGAGCAGACTGAAGGAGCCGCACGCCATCCTCAATCTAGGGCTCCGCACGGAAGACGACGCAGAGGTAAACGCAGAGTGTGTGTCAGTGTGCAGATCAGCCCACAATTAGGACAGAAGCTGTGCTTGTGAGTGTGAGCGATGAGTGGAGCTGCAGTTCCTCCGGCGCTCAGATGATGGCGCTGTGGCTGCACAAACAGAGCAACGGCCTTGTGTGAGCGTGTGTGTGTGTGTGTGTGTGTGTGTGTGTGTGTGTGTGTGTGTGTGTGTGTGTGTGTGTGTGCTCCAAACGCAGATCAGAGGTCTAAAGCTCTGTAATCATTCCCTGCGAGCGAGTTCAAGGCTTCTGCTGTGGTTTGAGCTCACGATGAGTGAATGACAGAAGACTACATGTGAAAACAAAAATCATACATTATCAGTGCTGAGCTCATTTACTGGTCAGGATAATATCAAATCAAATTTTATTTGTATGCACAATAAAAAAACAACAGCAGTTGACCATTCTGCGGCACAAACCAGACGGCAAAGACAACAAACACTAATAAATGATTCAACTTTAGACTCTAGGAAATAATCATGCAGTATTATCTCATTAAATATGTGTCTGTGGTAAAATGTTATGATGCATTATAAAGCTCCTCATAACTGTATCAGCTGTATTATACTTCATAACCTAAATATAAGATGCATTATACTTTAAAACAGATTGATAAGCGCTCTGTTCCTCTTCGGATAAAGCATCTGCTAAATGCATGAATGTAAATGCAAAAGACAGTGACATTCAAAGATCTTAATGTTGCATCATATGAAGGCTGATTTGAATCAGCGGTGTTGATGTTGAAATGCACTGAGCTGCTGATGTTGCTGAGATAATCATGTGATTCTGCTGTGAACTGTGTTTGTGTCTGTATTCGTCACGCTCTGCTCCGGTCTCTGATGAACGCTTGTATTAATGCAGTCCAGTGCAATTAGTGCGGTGGGAAGAAGCAAACATTACGAAGCGAGAATCATTGTATCTGTCCGGCCCTCATCCACGTCACAGCGCTCCTCTGATGAGACGGAGGCTCCGTTCGCTCATGAATCTGCGCTCTTTATTTGCTCTTTATTCCGTGTTCTCAAAGCAGCAGGCGTTTTTCTGACTTCGCTCACGGAGGAGCGGAAACTCTTTGTTGAATCCTCGTCTCTGTCAGCAGCAGATAAAGACAGTAATTAAACATCTCGTTTGACTGCGGGGCTCATTTCCTGTCATTCGCACAGAATCTCTGAAACCCAAATCACGTGAAAGTTGTCTGACGCTCCTCTCTGAGGCTGTGTTTCTGGGATGCTATCGTTAACTTAATTAGACGGTATTTTGCTGAGTGGTTTTGGCCCGTTCTGGACTGATGACTCAAAGCTTTTCATATTCTTCATATTCTGTGCCAGAAATGAACTTTTCCATTAAGGGACGACGTTTGCCCCCTTAAATCGATCTCCAGGGGCATTTTTACCTTCATAAGGGCAATGTTTTCTGATCTTATTAGATATATGCATCATCTTTTATCTCACATTCTAATATTTAATCAATAAGTTCAGCTAGAATAAGACGACGCTACAGGCTGTTACCAGTCAAATGAAGCCAGTGTCAATAAAATCCCTTTTTGCTCTGCAGAAGCACAGAAGCTGCATTTACACGGCAATTACAATTGCATAAATAATGCTGAGATTAATGCTCATAAAATAATATTTTTAAATATTGAAAAATGAAATGATACTTCATGTCACGTCACTTTATTAAAAAACAAAAAACAAAAACAAAAACAAAAGGGGAAGTCGTGGCTTAATGGTTAGAGAGTCGGACTCGTAACCCAAAGATTGTGGGTTCGAGTCTCGTACCGGCAGGGATTGTAGGTGGGGGCAGTGAATGTACAGCGCTCTCTTCCACCTTCAATACCACGACTGAGGTGCCCTTGAGCAAGGCACCGAACCCCCAACTGCTCCCCGGGCGCCGCAGCATAAAAGGCTGCCCACTGCTCCGGGTGTGTGTTCACGGTGTGTGTGTTCACTGCTGTGTGTGTGCACTTTGGATGGGTTAAATGCAGAGCACTAATTCCGAGTATGGGTCACCATGCTTGGCCACGTCACGTCACTTTTTTCACTTTTTATTATACTTTAAATATGAAAGTAAAAGACTAAATATGAAGCTGTGAGACATGGGCACATGTTTCACAGACAGAGCTTAGACTAAGCCAGGATTAGGTCATAGTTCATTTAAGAAATTAAAGTAGCTTTTATAAACGTGCCTTAGAAAAAAACATTACCGATGTGCATCTTGAGACAAATCAGTGGCACTGACAAGGCATTTTAAGATCAGTCAGTGCAAGTTTCTTTCAGTTTTGATGTATTTTAGTCTGGGACTAGTTTTAAGCCTCGTCTGTGAAACCGTAAAATCTTAATGAGTGCGTCATTGAGTCATTTACTCAAATGATTCATTAAAACGGTTGATTTATTCAGGAACAATGCAAGTGACTCTCTTTAATGATTCAGTGATTCTCTTCAATGAATCATTGATTTGCTCAGAAAACCGGATTGACTTACTTTGTAATGTTTTGTTTGGAACTATTTTTGCTTTGCTAAATAGATCAAAAACGGACAATATCACATTTGTGATCGTGCTAATATTTGAAACGGCATGTTTGCTCATGTGATATTGATCATATCATATAGAAATATAAGACACAAACTCACACAGGAGCATTCTAGGAAAGTCAGGAGGACTTCTGTTTTCTCTGAAGTGAGTGACATAATGTCAGCTTCCACATCGTTAAAACAACAGTTACGTCATTACTGCAGGCGATACTCCTCCTCACGGATGATCGGCAGGGCCCCCGGGGGCCCATGGCATTGTGTGCCGCTTTATCCGGGCGTCAAGACATGCTGAAGTTGCGTTTGGTCTCGTACTGTATCGCATACCTTGTCAGTGTCGTGTGCTTGCTTAGACTCCACAGTGCAGGGACACAGACAAGGGTCGTACAGTAAGTATAGCTTTTGACTCAACCTCTTTTTTACACCTTTCTTCACTTCTGTTTCAGTTTTTTTGACCAACTCTTACTGTGTGTTTCCAGATCCCTACTATCACTACCACTCGCAAACCACGCATCACACACTATAGGTAGCGCAATCCTAACAACCTGCGCACTTTGCCTATGTCTGCTAATACATTACTTTCTTTTTCTATTGGTCTCTGGAATTGCCAGTCTGCTGTAAACAAAGCTGATTTCATTACTTCTATTATTAGTCATTCAAAGCTAAATCTCATGGCCCTGACAGAGACCTGGATCAAACCAGAGGACACTGCTACACCTGCAGCACTCTCCAATAATTTC